GAAGAGCAGAGGTTGCTCAGTGATCAAGCAAATGCAGAGAGCAAGGGGGGGCATGGAGAGCGCTCATTTGTGGTTCACAGACTGGGAGCCTCTAACCTGATTTAAATGCAGAGGACTGTAGTTATAACTGTAATGAAAGAGCACCATGAGGAAAATTCAGCAACTTAATACAGTATCGCCTATCGCCTGTTCTTGGCTACAGGAGAGACAGTAGTCTTGTGGTTAAACGTGGAAGTCTACACACCTTGGAAAATACATGTTTTTATATATGTTCAAAGTGCTTCTAAGATATTCATTATAGCTCTGCCATGTCCTGGTAATAGCTAGAAATGCTGTATAAAATGTGTATGCAATGGCTCAATATGCATGACATTATTTTTTAAATACAGAAGTTTAATATTATGGTACTGTAACCACTTAAATGCATAAACCAACATATAGTCAGGGCCAAGAATTAGTAAGTGGGCCAAAGATCAGAAAGATACATTCTTGTGTAACCTGATGTTCATCTTACGAGTGACTTGAGTAAATCAAAACATTGTCACATGCCTGCAAATGCTACAAAGCTTAGACACGCTGATTGTTAGAGTTACAGCCTGCGTAAACCAGAAGAATCCCTAATTAAAGGTAGCTGGGGAAGTCTGCTACTGCTGAAGGGGGAAGGAAAAGCCCATGGCTTCCCATTTGTACAGGCTGCAGCATCTTTCCCAGTGTGAACCTGATACAAGCAGCAGATTGTGGCCCGGAACAATGATGGCCATAATAGGTGCTCGTGATGGGAAATAATAGGTACCTTGTGGCACAGGCATTTAAAAAAAAAAAAAAGTAAACGTGAATGTACGTACGTTGTTGGTCACTGTAGGATGAGGGAGGAACTGATTTGGGTCTGGGATGGAATTTGCTCAGTGAAAATAAATAGGATGAAATATACTGTGAAATTCATCTTAATGAAAAATGCAGTAAGGCAGAGAAGTAACCTCTGAGACCAACTGAGGAAGGTGAGAGAAGGCTGAAAGGTACCACAAACACGGAAAAGGGATAGCGAAGCAGGTGGGACAGGGCCACCCAGAGGCACTTACTCTGTTCTGCCTGTCAGAGCACAGAGAAATACATACCAGGAACGTGCTATGAGAAACCTCATTCTCCAAAACTGAACTGAGCTAAAGAAACATCACACGAGTAAGCAGTGGGAGTGTTAAAGAGTCTCTAGTAAACCCGCAGAATGTGGTGGGTTTTCAGCAACAATTCCCAAACGGCCAAATTGATAAAATCATCCTCTTGGTGACTGGAATATTTAAGCGTGGAAATGCAAAGCCCAGACAGACTATGCTGGCATCCTCATAGTCGCCAGTCCGTGAACTCCTGGGCGAGTGCGTGAGCACTCCAGCTACCAAATAAGTTTCCTGCTGGAACACCGGTCTAGAGAAGTTTAGTAGAAAAGGCAACCAGATGGCTAAAATGTCTTTTTGGTATCAAGTGAGATTTTCAAAAGCTGAGGAGGGTTTTCAGCACCCACATCTCTTTTGGCAACTGTGAAAATACAGCCCCCAAAACCTAGTAGCTTAGGTTTCTATTGGAGGTTGGTCAGGCGGTGTTATCTGTGTCCCACATCTAGTTATAACCAAGGCAGTGTCATCCTTGGTATTTGGTGCCAAAATCAGGGGTCGCATGTGGGGGACAGCAGGGACTCCCACTGCTTTTAAAGATGACTCCAAGCCCTTTTGAGATGCCCAGAGCAGTCCTGGTGGACACTGAAACAGGAGAGGGAGTGGTAGCGGCAAATTTCTGGCAAATGAAATGTGTCCTGACCAGAAACGTCACATCTTAGGGGCAGAAAACAGTTTATCTGGATTTGAGGTACCTTGGCTTGGTCTTGCTCTGGGCTGATGCCAGCGCAAATCAAGCAATTGGCTGGTAGACAAGCTGTATCTTTTGATAGTGATTGCATTAACAGAGAACACTGATGGTCTAGGGGAAAGGATGCGCAATCCCAAGCGTGAAATAGAAGGAGCCAGTTTGGACGAGCAGCCAGCCAGGCGTTATCTATGCATGCTCTGCGGGGTCTGAGGGAGCTCCGCTGCTGCCAAAAGGTTGTGATCCCCCTCCTTAAGCACCTCTCCCTTGCGATGCGCTCTGCCCGCAGCAGAAGGAGACGGGCAGAGGTGGTGGCCCGCAGGCACGGGTAAGCCAGCTGGAGCACCTGTGACAGCCCTTGCTTGGAGCCAGGTCCAGGGAAGGCTGGTCCGTCTGCAGAGACGGCCCTCTTGCCTCACCCCCGTAGCCAGGGATGAGCTGTAACAATCTGGATATGCTCATGAATTAATTAATTGTCCAATCCAAATGAGAAAAGCGAGGCTGAATTATTTATAGTATATTAACGCTGTTGGCATATGCAGGAAACGCTAACGAACTGCAATACGCAAAACGCTGAAATGACTGAGTGCTTATTGACGAGTGGAAGCCAGGGATCTGTTTTCAATAATCTGAGTGACAGCCAAGGGAATAGTGAAAGACTTTTTTGTTATTTATTTCCAGATTTATAATGCTCATTCCTCTGGTGCTGCATCATTTGTAAGGAAAGCATAACCACTCTGGGGCATTAGGAAGCTTTTCCCCAGCACGCTGTTAACGGAGTTAAGGGGGCCGCCAGCTCTGGGTGGTGGCGGGGGGTGGCGAGGGACCCAGGCGGAGCTTGTGAGCGAACCACAGCCGATGGTGTACCGATACCCCCGCCAGTTTACCCATCCATGTCTGACTTGGCCAGGCAATGACAGCACGTTTGAACACTAGTAAAAAGGTGTGCTATCAAATAAATACGCTCTGATAACAATCAAGAGGAAGATCCGACGAAGAAAGATGGGAGATTTTAATGCTGTTTTTCTGATTAGAGTGGTCCTTAAAACAGGGCATAAATATGTTGTGCATAATAACTCCAGAACATGAAATCTTTGCTTACCATGGCCTCTCCTTTTCTCTGCATTCATTTAATTTAACTTCTATTCTACTTCTGTTCTTGTCCGGAACAGTTGATCGGGATGCTGCTGGCCTGCTGTCTGTCCCGGTTTATTACTGCTAACCAGTATGAGATGGTGTAACAAGGTGAGCTTTCCCTGCTTTCTATGTGGTATGCTATATACACTCCAGTATATTGTCACGCTGTGCTGCTTCTGCTGAAGATAGCGGGCAAGTTTCAGATGCTCAGCATGTTCATCGAGAATTAAGTCTTCCCACGGGATTTTTTGCTTTGGGATTTTCATCCCAATGTTCTGTCTGGTTGAGAAAAAAAAAAAGGGAAAACATACTATTGAATGTTTTGTCATTTTGGCTTTCTTCTTGAAAAGGGAGGGCAAAATATCCATCAGGAACTCTGTTAGCTACCAAAGCAACCCACTTTTCTTTTATCCTCCCCAACCCCGTCTTTCAGGAGGCCGAAGTCCAGAGCCTGTCTCAAGATCAGGAGCTGCAGAATTGGAGAAAGACTGAAACGAATGTTATAGCACACACTGTCTCTCGCACGCACGCACGCACGCACACCCATACCCCCACAAGCAAGCACGTGCGCGCGCGCACTCGCACCCCACCTCCCGAACTCTGTCCCATGCGTAGTGTACCATTCTGTGAAGTACCGCGGTGCCACCGGCAGCAGCCAGGTCCCCTCGGCCTCCGGACCCCGACCCCGTCCCCACGGCTCGGCGTAGGACGGCACCGTATGTATGTTCTTGGTCACACAGTAGTTGCATTGTAAGTTAACAAAGGTAATTCATTAACGGCATTGATCGGGCTGTGCATGTAGTGACTGGAGGGCATAATTAGCCTTTCACCATGGTTAATAAGTGTTGCACACGTTCATATAAACCGGTATATGAAATATATATTCTTTTGGGTTTATCTTAATTTCTTGTTTTGTTTATTGCTTTACTAAGGTTTTCATCCTTTCCCCCTTCCCTGCGCCTGCCCCCCTTCCCCAAAAACAAAGGAATCAGTAACATAACATAAAGATACTTGAAAATGATGTTAAAATGTTGTGCTTGAAGGGAACCGTTATTCCTGATGTTCTTCTACATCTTTGATTCTTACTCAGTGTTGTATGCCTAGTGCGTATCCCGGTAGGCTTTGTCTAGTGCATTTTGCCTCTGAACCTGATCCTGTGTAATACTGTTATTAAGCTGTGTTGTTGCTTACTGTGAAGGCAGGAATTTTGCTCCCTTTGTTTTTATTAGGTAGTTACGAACTAATTGAACTGTGCTGTACTGCGGCCTTCATACTTTTTTCCTGTTCTTTCTTTTTCTTTCTTTTTGCATTGAGGTTGCAGCCACCAAATACACTGTTGAATCAAATCGAAATAAAAACACACACACACAGAAAAAAAAAATCACAAAAAAAAATCCAGGCATATGAAATATTTTTGGGGGAAAGCAAAAGTTTAAAACCTTTTTAAAAAAAATAGGACTTTTTTAATAATGCCTCTGTCTAGCATGCCAACGAGAATGCATTGATATTGTGAGTATTTGTGATATACGTATTAATAAATGGAACCATTACAGATTTCTAGCTGCTTCCTTTTCGTTCTTTAGTCATAACAAAACTCTTTTGAGGGGGGAAGTGAACATGAAACACAAGTGCACAGCTTGGAGTGACATGTCTTTATGCATATTTTAACAACTAACTTGCTTGTGACAGAAAAAATGTTACTACCCTGGAAAGAAGAGAATGAGCTGGAATTGTTTCAAAATTCCTAGAAAAACCTTCCACAGCTGGTTTCACCATGTGACAAATGCATACCCTCTGCTTTGCAATTTTTCTTCTTGTGACTGATCCAATCTGCAGCATTTAATTATCCCGTCCTCAGCACTGCGCATGCTTTTGGCACAAAGCAGTTCTCTCTGATTTTGGTGAGGGCAGGGAGAAGAAGGATTTGGGGTTGAGGCGGGTGGGTAATGGCTGTCTTTGCTGCGTTCGTGGAAAGGTAGGCATTTATCTCTTTCTCATTTGAATATGCGAGGTGTTGAAGATCTGATGGGAAGTCCATGAAAGTTTAAACTTGGAAGTTTTGGACCAAGCCCTTACATTGGCAATGCAGACGGAAAAGATGACTTGAGGAGGGAAGCCCTGTAGCCTTCCAGCTGTGGAGGAGATGCGCAGCACCTGTGTCTGCACAGCCCACACAGCTGCCAGAGTCCCAGCCTGTCCTCCCTCCGTCTGTCCATCCGTCAGTGCCAGCCACCCAGATACTGCGACCTTCTACCTGGGGAGGGCTGCCGGCATGATGCCTCCAGCATTGGCTCCCGATGAGCCCCTGAGCGGTGCTGGCGCGGTCGGTGCGCTCTCACCCACCACTAAAAGGGCTTGCAGCCGCGCGGGCAAAAACCTGTCGGCGTATGCTGAGGCAGCATGTCTTAAAAACTCCGGTGACATCTTTGGCTTTATTCAGAGAGCACTTCCAGAGCAGGGAGGGGTGGGACCCTGGTTGCTTTGCCAGGAGGCTGGGAAATCAGTATTCCGTGTTGCTCTTGAAACACAGGTAATGGTTTTTATAGATTTGATCCACTGCCAAAATGAAAAGCTGTGATTTGCTGCTCAGTCTCTGCTTCTGTATTTGATTACAGCTCAGAGCTTCACATTTGGCTTCTGTCACAATTTGCATTTTTCAGCTCGGCTCTAAAATGCACAACCCCACTGTATGCGGTCTTCGGCAGGTTGTGTGCCTGTGGTGCCCAGGAGCCAAAGCTCTGGCTGTGCTGAGAGCTGGGCACACTGGAACGCACTTCCACAAGCTTGCTTTGTTCCATGAAAAACATGAGCAACTTTTTTTTCTTCATCACTTACATTTTCCCTGTTAAACATTGTTGGTAATGGGGACAAAAAGGCTTAGTATATTTGTGCGAGAGGGGCATTAAGGTGTTGGGGAGTCTGAAGTGTATTTTGTGGCAGGATGCTGTTATGGCTGGGGATGCATTGACTTCCAGCTAAAGACCTGTTTTCCCAAGGTCTTCTGTATCATCTGATATGTTCTCCTGCCACTTTAAATGAATAGCACATAGTGAAGTTTGTAGCACTTGTCCTATGGAAGTGTGGAAGTCATTTTACTGATTTTTTTCCCTACCAAGCAAATGACTTTACTTGGGAGCAAGTAAAGCACTCACAAAGGCCAGTCGTCCGTCTCTCTCCCCTTCACCCTTCTTCCCTCCCATAGCCTGTCCTTGGGGCTCAAAACTAATTTGAAACAGAGATTTGTAAATAAGAGAAGAGGAAGCTGGTCCACAAATTTAAATCTGCCCTCAATAAAGCATCTACCACGCGGGAGTGGGACATCTTTAAATGTGGAGAATGCCAATACAGGTCCTGCATAAATGCTAGGCAGTTTGCATGTGCTTTGCTGGGGACAAAGCCACTCGGCACGGGTTGCAGCACTCACATTTGCAGTCCCTTCCAAGGGCTTAAAAACAGTCGCAGCCGCTCGCTCTGTTGCTGAGGCTACACAACGCTGGAGCCATGCCCTTCTCCCGCCGGCACAGGAAGTTTGCAGGGGGATGTTTTTCCACACCAGAAAGAACTGGCCCACAAGCTGCCCCAGTTTCCCTCCCCTATTCATGCCCGGGCAGGTCTCCCCTGCCCCATGGAGGGGAGGGAGGGGGCAAGGCTGACACCTCCTCCCTCAGGAGCCACCAGTGACCTTCCGGAGTGGAAAAGCACCAGCCTCTTCTCAGTTTTCTTTCCTTTTTTTTTTCTTTTTTTTTTCCCTGAAAGAAAGAGTTGTTTGTGCCAAAAGCTGATTCTTTTTGAAGATGCTGATGTTGGGTGACAGGTCAGCAGGCCCCCAAACTGCTCCAGCTTGCCCATCCCCATTCAGTAAAGCATGTGCTCAGCTTTAAGGCATAAGCGGTGAATTCAGTCCATTCAGCAAAGCCCTCCAGTGCGTGCTCAATTGTTTCCCTCAGCCCAGCTGCACTCCTGCTTGTATGGGGTAGGTGTGTTAATTGGGCTCTTGACAGCTTCCGTGGAGAGGATCAGGCTGGTGAAGGACCCGCCAAGGGCTTCCCCAGAGAAATCCCCCTGGCTGGGGCCAGGGCCACACAGCAGCTCCGGCGAGGAGGGTTGCGCTAGCTGGCACTGTGGCATCCCCTGCCCTGGGCGCAGCATTCACACGCTTCTGTTCCTCCCTCCTGGAGGGAGAAGCAAGGCGGTGGAAAGGAATAAAAGCTGGATCGGCTGAGTATGGATTAATGTCAGCCAGGCAGAGATGTGCAGGGTTTTCCCTCCGGAGGTGAAGCTGCCAGGGGGTACCAGGGGTGCTTTGCCTCAGGGGCTGAGGTCCACCCTCTGGCATGAACTGAATCAGCGGCGGAGGGGGCTGGCTCCTGCTGCGCTGGGCTGGCTCTGGCTGCCTGATCCCTCCCCGAGCAAATTGCATTCGCTGCCGTCACCAGACCCAAGCTGGGCAAAAGAAGGGTGGGCAGGTTTGGGAGTCAAAGCAGGTGATGGGGCAACTGGATGAGTCCCAGGAGGCGTAGGAAAAATGGGACATGGCTGGGGGATGAGGAGAGTGGGAGATGGAGCGGGAGTGTGGGAGGAGGAAGAAGGGGCATTGAGACCACCTCATTTTGGTCCTGGTGAGCTGCTAGCTTGGTTTGGCTGCAAGGCGGACCAGCGGCCTCAGTGAGCATATGCATCCCATCCTGAGCTGCCTCCCAGGGCTTGCTTCTGCTGAGGAGGACAGCCCCAAGCACTGCCTCGAGGATAATACGTTGCTGTGAAGGTGATTTTTCACAGTAGCCTCAAACTGCAGCTCTGGGAGCAGGCGGCCGTGCTGGAGAGCCTTGCTGGCTGCCACCATCCTTGGGCGAGCATCACTGCGGAGGAGACTGGCTTTGCAGGACTGCTTATGGGATTTCAGCCTGTGTTGCTCCTCGGAGGACCCAATGAAGGGGCTAAAATCATTTTGTCTTCTGTGGCTCTTCCCCTTGACTTTAATGGCTCATTGCTGTTTAAGATTATTTTAAGATTAGCAAATTAATTTGCTGCCAGCCAAGCCCCATGCATAAAATACCTGGCATCCCACCGGAGGGGCAGGGTTGATTGGGATGTTAGACTTCTACCAGGGCTGA